GCAGCAAAAGGTGGCGCTACAAAGTATTAGCGCAAGGGGGCCGAATAATATTGCACGCCCCACTTTTCAGTTTTTTATTTGTTAAAAAAGTTTAAATTATCCAATAAATTTAGTTCCACTTCACGATTGTGTCCCACTTGATGTTGATTCTTGACAAAAAATTAAATTTTTATATCTTTATGTTTGAAGCCTGAAATGGGGCAAAATGTTGAAAGGTTCAAGGGGGCCGAATACTTTTGCAAGGCACTGTATACCATGATCACGTACAGTACCATAAGATAAACAGGATTTATCACATCATAGTGGCATGAAAGAGAGACACACACACACACACACACACACACACACACACATTTTAAATCCATATACTTTCATTCTCTATTTTTACATATTTATACTGCAAAATTAATCATAATGGTTCTGTTGTTATTGGGCCACGGATTGCTGTGAATTTCCCGCCCAAACCTGCAACCTGCCCTCTCAATCAAAAAGTCACGACTGAGCAAATCTACAAACGTAAGCATTTGTTTAGTAGCCCACTTTTCTTTCCAACATTGTCAGAAGCACCCTAGACTTTATAACTTTATTTTCTAGTTCAATAACCAGGCAGGTCAATGAAGAACCACTTTTCAATTACAACCTGGCTTGTGAACCAACACAGGAAAGAACACACACAGAACATGCTGATTCATAATCTGACACTTTACATGGAGTTTTTGTCTCAGATTCTAAATGTAATAATCCAAACCTGATGTTCTGATGTGTCCAAAAATTGATTTATAAATGCAATTGTTGTTCGTGCATGCAGTAATACTAAACAATTGCCTCATGTCATATTGGACAGTAATTGATTCAGTCCCATTCAAAAACAGGCCTCACCATTTGCATTTACCAACACTTTCTCTGTGTATGCTCTCAAACTGCCCTTAAATGAAGTGTTCTTGGTGTAAAGTGATTTTTATGGATGGACACTAGCTCGTGTAAGCAGAGAGGAGAGACTCTATCTCTGACAGCATCACATTATGAACCTCTTCATTGTCTGCGTTCTGTGTGTGTGTGTGTGTGTGTGTGTGTGTCTGTGTCCTGTCGCTGGCATTGATCACAGCCTGTTATGTTTCCATGGTAACCAACCCTAGCGCTTAGCGAGAAACCAACACGGCTCGATCAATAGTCTTCTGCAATAACAGGGACGTGTACTACAGACGCACGGCGGATTTAAGCATTGACAGGAAGTTCCATGACGGAAAAGTCACTTATTCGAAGATAAATTGTGTGTAGTAATATTTTAAAGGGCACGTCTATCACTTGCTATTTATTCATTTGATTTGGACATGACAATTTGGACAAATAAGAAATGATGCTTCTAATATAAGTCAGTCATTTACAAAAGTAGTGTACAGTTACAACTTTGATTTCTGCTTTAGTTAAAAAAAGTTAAGTTTAAGTCAGTGGGAAGAACATTCCACAGTCTGAACTTTATTATTGCAATGTCCTTGAACAGAAATGACCTTTTTACAAGTATACGGCTGTGAATAGAGCTGCTATCCACAGATGTGACCTGCAGCGTGGCCTGGTGGCATCTGGAACTATAAATGTTTAAAGAACAGTGTGTGCAAAGAAATACCATCTGGAGACACAGTGGTATTCGCAAAATTGTCCACCGTCACCGTTTTATAGAACAAAGAAAAGCATTGACCGTATAAGGCATTGTATGTTTTCATTATTCATTCGTAAGCCGAGAGCCACAGCTGCCATGGGGCAATCTGACACTATGTGCAAAAGGTAGTATTATAGAACCAGCTACAAAAAAACAGTGAAAAATTAGGCAACAGGGAACCTTTTTCTATCGAGATGATAATAACAAACACATATTTCATTGAGAGAAAGAACGGTCAGTGAGAACGGCATACATTCTTGAGCTCCCAGTCTTGCTTTTTCATAACCATTGTCTCTGGCAGATTGTTAAAAAAAAAGGACTACATAATAATAAAGCCACTGAAGGGGAACAAGACCACGCCCAGAGCCCATAATGACCCCCTCTCACAACACTGAAACCTGACACCACTTATGTATTCCCCCGAGCGTCCACATGTTCAGCAGAGAGGCTCATTATGCAATAGAAAGTGTTGGATAGTGTAGAATAATGATACAGGTAATACAGTCTGTCATCATTAAAAGCATTTGTTTTTAGTTTATTTGTTTTATTCTGGGTTTTTTATTTTTATATTAGGGTTATTATACACAATGAGCTCTTATGTCTGTCTACTATTTCTGACTAATCACATTTTTCATACAATAAGATTTTTTTTCAGACGTTTAATATGGTAAATAACTCTTTATGTGAAAGGAAAATGTTATTATACTAACAATGAATTGGTTTTATGTAGCACCACTGTGGCACCTACTGTTTCCAGAGGTCTCACATCAAAGTACTAACCAGGTCCTGTCCTGCTGAGCTTCAGGGGTCTGATCAGCTCCAGCTTTGTAATGCAATGTAATGTTTATTTCTATACCGCCTTTCACAGACAAGGGTCACAAAGCAGTTTACAATTGTTATTATTTTTTTTAGGGCACTTGTCCTCTCACTCCACACAGAGATGGGAGCGGGGTCGCTGAACAGGAGGCACATGCCAGACCTATTGTACATATTTTTAGTGGTAGGGGGAACCGGGGTACCCGGAGGAAACCTATGCAGACACGGGGAGAACATGCAAACTCCACTCAGAAAGGCCCTGGTCCGACCGGGATTCGAACCCAGGACCTTCTTGCTGAGAGGCGAGAGTGCTATCCACTCAACAACCGTGATTTGACATGCAGGTGGCATCTTGGGTCATTGTTATTCATTGTGTTTATGTATTTATCGCAATTTATTTTTTAAATTAATTACTCATTCTGTTTAGATGTCCTGAACCTTTTTTTTTTTTATCAATATTTTTTATTCATTATTCCAAGTTCCATTGACCGGCGTGTATTTTAGCCAGTGGGGGAGGGTCCCAGCTCAAAAGTGGTCAAAATGACGTGCGCTGACATGCTGCAATACCACCCCGGGCCGATGGGGGTGGACCCAGAAGTAGAATTAGCCAATGCTAACATATAGCATTGGCAGACCTCTCGAAAACGTCTTTACAGGATGGACCAAATGTTGGCTCTTGGCCCAAAGCTCCGTTCCACATGTGTGTCAATGCTGAGGGGGGTGATTTTTTTTGGTCCACTCTAGTTTACTCGCTGTGAATTTTTGAAGTCTCTCGTTCAAATGAATGGAGCTGCGCCGGCTGACGCATGCGCAGATGCGTTTTTTCACAATTTTCTTGTGGGCGGGACCACTCGCGGCCATCTTGGATTGCTCTATGAAAGCACTTTTCATAGCCAACTCCTATGAACGGCGGAGATAGGCGTGACTCTGTCCGTTATTATATACAGTCTATGGTTTAGCCTTTACATGGCATGGACAGACTATTTTTTTCGTAAATGATTGAAGACATAAACAATCCGCTGAACCTTTTCCCACAGTAGTTGATCCGCAGGAAACACAAAGGCCCAAATCCTCCTTTTCTCACGGGGACATATGAATAGAATTTGGCTCGGTTCAAAAACAGCTGTTATCCTCCGCCTTTGAGTCAACAGACGATGTGTTTATGTTCAACAGCAGATTGCTACGTTTTGTTTGTGACAAAAATACATTTAATGGAGGCACTGAGATTTTTTCAGGTGACTGGAAACAAAATCATACGTCTTAAGGGAATATATGAAGAAATAAATGAATACACTGATTTTTTTAATTAAACTTTTTCAAGATCAATACTTTAGAATAACGTATAACACACTAGTATAAAGTGGTTCCATCTGCGTGTGAAAGCGTGATCCTAGTAGAGTCGACTGTAGAAACTAAGCAATGCAGGGCCTGGTTAATACAGTAATGGGAGACCTCTGGAACAAACTATTGTTGTGTCTTCAGGCAAGACACTCTCGTTGCCTAGTATGTGTCCTGTTTGTGAGTGAATGAGAACAGTTGGTGGGGCTGATGTCACTTTATTTTTAAAAAAAAAGAAAACGTTAATTATAATAACAAATAGTATTATTATCATGATTATTGGTATAACAATTATGTTTTATTATATTATAGAAATTCAGGTGTCTAGTAGCAGCAGAAACACATGCATCCATACAAACAAAACAAAAAAATAGATAATTCAAAAAGTAGCTAATGAGTAGCTATGAGTGTTTGTACGTGGATACTGGATACTTGTGTGGTTGTATTATGTTGTGTACTTGATACGTTTATGGACATATAATAACTGTTATTGACATTGTCATCTGCCCCCAATGTGTTCTCTAATGACTCTCTGATCTGTGCTGGCGTATCCACAACTTTGTAAAGTCCAATGAGACGACTACTACTAAGTAAGTAAGTAAGCTTTATTTATATACCGCCTTTCACAGACCAGAGTCACAAAGCGGTTTACAATTGTTATTTTTTGGGCACATTTTTGGGAGAACATGCAAACTCCACTCAGAAAGGCCCTGGTCCGACCGGGATTCGAACCCAGGACCTTCTTGCTGAGAGGCGAGAGTGCTATCCACTCAGCCACCGTGCAGGGTACTACCACTACTGTACTTATGTGCTATACAAAAGAATATATTGAATTGGATACGCTTTGATGCGAGGCCATGGAGAGACGGCTTTAAAGTCTAGATGCAGAGAGAGAGAATTTACAGAGTTAAGAAATCTGTTTAAAATGGAGTATTGATTGGTAGTGGTGAGGCAAAACAATGCACAGAAAGATAAACTTTTCGAGCTAAATCAGAAGTATGACGTTGGCTGCAACTACACACGGGTCATACTTCATTCTTGTTTTGTAAATTGGTACGACTGACATTATAAATGAGTAGAGTGAGTGTGACGGAGCAGCAGGACGAGGAGGCATGCGGCGTCTAATGGAGCATGGTCCCAGAATCTAGATCACTGCACCAGCGTCTCTTCAGCCGCCTCTGATCTCCACATGTCTGCCCCACTTTCAACTGCACTTCCAGATGAGAGCAGAGAGAAGGCACAGGGGTAAAGAAGCAATGGAAATGTCAATAAGATAAGATAAGATAAAAGAACCTTTATTCGTCCCACAGTGGGGAAATTTCAATGTTGCAGCACATATACAGGTGTAGTGATAGCACACAGGGAGCACACAAATAAGTAGCTGCTATGTTTCTTAGCTAGCTGTAAATGCTTCGATATCAATACATAGATCTATCGCTATCACATGATTATGGTATTTAGTATATCCGTTCTCATTGTACAGTCTGACAGCAGCAGGAAGGAAAGACCTGTGGAACCTCTCCTTCACACAGAATATAACTGAAACTTCTCTCCAGTGCAGACAGTGTCCTGCAGGGGGCGACAGTCATGGTCCAGCATAGATGTTAGTTTGTCCAGGACCCTCCTGTCCCCCACCTGCTGCACTGTGTGAGACTGTCTTCTACTTTGACAATGTTCAAATCAAGGTAATAAACAGATCTCTTTAGCCATGCATAAACCTGAAGGACTTTGTCTTCACTCTTTTTCTTTCTCTCTAAATCTTGAAAAAACAACAACATATTGTACTGAACGTCGATCAACTTAATCTATAAAGTTCGTCTTATAAACACAACCTTTCCAAAATCATAAATCAGCTTTTCTCCATAAATGCTGATCCTGGACTAGTCCTGGACAGGTTCTGAGCCCAGTAATTGTTTGGTAGTCTTTCCATCAGAGGTTTTGCCAGTATTTCAAGTTAGATTAACCAGTTTTAAATGTAAAAAAAAACTAAATTTCTTGCTTTTAACTAAAACTGCTTGAAAAGCTAATCCTTTTGGGGGGAATTTATCAGAATTCCATTGGGAACAGTCAAAATTATTGCTCTGGTAGTTCCAGATGTTTCAGAATTTAATATAGGTTTTAAGTCTTGTCTGAAAAAATCAGTTAAATATGAATCTAAAAAATATACAATTCTTGGCCTTTAGGACACTACTGTAAAGAAGAGTATGTTTGGAAGCAACATGATGTCTCTGTCAGCTGAGGGTCTGACATTGAGTTTGAGGACACAGACCTTAGTGGGTCTGTCAGGTTGTGAAGAGCAGAATCTGACAGCGCTGCCTGTAGAGAGGGAGAGGAGAGAGAGGAGGGAGAGGAGAGACAGGTGAGAGAGGAGGGAGAAGTAAGAGAGGAGGGAGAAGAGAGAGAGGAGGGAGAGGAGAGAGAGGAGGGAGAAGTAAGAGAGGAGGGAGAGGAGAGAGAGGAGGGAGAGGGAGAGGAAGGAGAGGAGAGAGAGGAGGGAGAGGAGAGGGAGAGAGAGGAGAGGGAGAGGAGGGAGAGGGAGAGGAAGGAGAGGAGAGAGAGGGAGAGGAAGGAGAGGAGAGAGAGAGAGGAGAGGGAGAGGAAGGAGAGGAGAGAGGAAGGAGAGGAGAGAGAGGAGGGAGAGGTGAGAGCGGAGGGAGAGGTGAGAGGTGAGAGAGGAGGGAGAGGGAGAGGAGAGAGAGGAGGGAGAAGTAAGAGAGGAGGGAGAAGAGAGAGAGGAGGTAGAGGAGGGAGAGGAGAGAGGAGGGAGAGGGAGAGGAGGGAGAGGTGAGAGAGGAGGGAGAAGTAAGAGAGGAGGGAGAAGAGAGAGAGGAGGTAGAGGAGGGAGAGGAGAGAGGAGAGAGGAGGGAGAGGGAGAGGAGGGAGAGGAAGGAGAGGAGGGAGAAGAGAGAGAAGAGAGAGAGGAGGTAGAGGAGGGAGAGGAGAGAGGAGAGAGAGGAGGGAGAGGAAGGAGAGGAGGGAGAAGAGAGAGAGGAGGTAGAGGAGGGAGAGGAGAGAGGAGAGAGGAGGGAGAGGGAGAGGAGGGAGAGGAAGGAGAGGAGGGAGAGGGAGAGGAAGGAGAGGAGGGAGAGGAAGGAGAGGAGAGAGAGGAGGGAGAGGTGAGAGAGGAGGGAGAGGGAGAGGAGAGAGAGGTGAGAGAGGAGGGAGAAGTAAGAGAGGAGGTAGAGGAGGGAGAGGAGAGAGGAGAGAGAGGGGAGAGAGGAGGGAGAGGAAGGAGAGGAGGGAGAGGAGAGAGGAGGAAGGTGAGTGAGAGGAGAGAGAGAGGAATGGAGGGAGGAGAGGAAGAGAGGGAGAGAAGAGAGGAGAGTGAGTGGAGGGAGAGGAGGGAGAAGAGAGAGAGGTGGGAGAGGAGGGAGATGAGAGTGAGCGGAGGGAGAAAGAAGAGATAGTTCAAGTTGGACTAATTAACTCTAGATATTTTGGATGTACTGGAAAATCATTACACAAATAATCAGTGTTTAAAGCTGGGTTTAAACTTGAAAACCACAAAAGGAACTATCTAATAAAATCCATGTTACTGATATGTGTTGATCAGACTGTTCAGACTTCAGAAGATTTCAGTGAAGAAGAGGGAACCACCCTGACTCAACCCAAAGCTTCAAATTGTGACTAATGTTTTCTATAAAGATGAAAACGGTATGTGATGGTCTGATTTGCTCATGTTTTAATTTATTACTTTTTGTTGGGACAAACAACATTCATCATTAACACTAGACCAGTCAATATAACAGCTTTTAGTTTTTGAAGTGTTATTGCTCGCATTGCATGATTCCATCAATATTTTTCTGAAATTGTCTCTCACGTTTGAAATGAGGCTAATACCTCACCTCCCGGAGTTGAGCCAGAACCAGTACCAGTAACCATAGCGACGTAATGTTTACTTGTTGGTAACCTTTCAACAAATTGCTTTAAGCTGTATTTCAAGTGACAAAAACAGCTTTAGCACTTACTTACTTTTAATGCTGTCCTATGACTAAACATTTGTCTGGGGTCCTTTCTCAGAATATCATTGGTTCGAATGAGAGCAGTCCAAATGACGGTTCTGAGAGGTGTAGTAGTTTCATAATTGTGAATTCCTAATGTCAAGAAAAAGTGAGGTGTGAACCGTTCTAAAAAAGTAAACTGTCATTGCCTTTCCTTACAATGTGATATTCAGTTTATCATCAAGTCAACTGTGCGTAAAAAGGTGCTTCCTTCACGCAGACTATCTCTGTTCCTACCAAAAATGACCCCTGCAGGTCTCCGGGGTCTGTCCGTGTGGGAATACTAACATTAGGCCCTGTCGCCTTTAACACTGCGCCCCTACATAGAATTAGGTCCGCTTCACTGGAGGCGAGAGTGCGCGTCTTGTCCCCGCCCCCGACTATCCACAGCATCCATCCTCATGCTCCCTCTGCGTGAGCCCCATCACAACCATAGTGGAGCCGCGCAGCCCATGGAGTAGTAGCGTAGTAGTGTGGGGGGTGCTCGCGTTTTTCTTTCACCCCTTTTCCACCCGCTTTCTTTAATGGATACCGATTTGGTGTGGAATACGGCTTCATCACATCTCGGTAAGTGCGATCCGTGCGTCTGGCGCGGGGAGATTTGGCGAAAATGGGAGGAAAAAGCGGCTATTGCTATTGTCTGTTGGCAAGTTCGGACCGTGATCCAGTCCCGGTGCGAGAGTGAGGGCAAAAGCTGTGCGTAATGTGCGAGCGGTTTGGAGAGGAGGCGTATATTTCAATGTGCTTGACGTAAATGTAAATGAAATTGTGTTTAAGCGATTGTAAAGAATCGACGTCGGTATTTTGGATAGACACCTGTCTCTACCAGCAACAGTGACCGCCCTCCTTCTTATATCTTGCATCAGATCCATACAATTCCAAATAACCGAGCCTCACTTATATACAGTTTGTGTCCTGCTCGCTGATTCGCGTTTACCCGTGCGTAATTTTCGCCCATTTCAGTGCAAAAACGTGTCTAAAAAGACCCAATCCTTTTCCCCGCCCCCCAACAACACAGACTGGCTGGTCTCGCTGGGTCCCCTCCTCGTAGGCAGCCCCCCTTTAAATGATGGCTTTCAGATCACTCGCAGATTGAAATCCCCTGGCTATTAAGACGCGCTGATAAGCACCAAAATGTAACCTTGAGACAGACGCAAGTTTTTATGGCGTTTCCCCCCCTTCGTTATGTTCTACACGTGCCTGTCTGACCGGGAGCCATGGCCTTTCACTGGGAATAAGGAATGAATGAAGTGCAGCTTGAGGACGTATTTGTTCTATGGGCTGTATGTGCAATCAGTCAATCTTTTACAACCGTGTGCTTTTTTTATTTAGCTTTGATGAAATATTATGAACCCATCCATCATCATGTATCAGTGTCTATGTTCTACAGAGACACTCCCTGTTCTGAAATGTTATTACATTTCTGTAATCACAGTTTACACAAAGTACAATTTCAACTTTACCTGTGTAGAAGAATATGGTTTTATGAATTGTATTTGAGTAATTAAAGATTACCTGGTTGTCAATGTTTGGTCAGGATGTGAGATATTCATTTTCTGACCAGTGCAGTGGCAAAATATACTCCACCCATTTGTGTCCATTAGTGTGTGTCTCATTAGTCCTCCCCCAAAAGACAAAATCCTGACTATGGTATGGACCCAGAAAATGTTTTGAGATATGTTCTTTTAATTTTTTTGTTTTCAGCTTCCCAATTCTCGTATTGAAAATTCATTTTGCCTATATATGTTTGTGTATAGGTCCCAAGTTGAAGTTGTTGTATAATCAGGCTGCATTATGCGTCCGTACCCGATGTAATGTATGCATCTTTCCCATACATTACACTATATTTGCATAAAGTGAGTTGGGATTGGGAGCAGTCTGAGCACCATTCTGTACAAAGACTTATATATTTGTTATAACGCTGTCAAACACGGACCAGAAATGTCCCTCTCATCTCGTCTCAAGACTCAAGGCTTTCTCATACATTATAGAAAATAAAACTGGGCATAACATCTGAGATACTGCAGGCCTCAGCTGCATTGAACCCATTTAATGTGGGCGTCATGAGGCAGAGAGATTGGCAACTCTCGCTTCTCCCGGAAAGTCCTATAGGTTCGAATCTCAGTCAGAACAGGGCCCTTCTGAGTGTAGTTTGCATGTTTCCTCCAGGTGCTCCGGTTTCCCCTAAAACTAAAAACAATGAGCAATAATCACCATTAACACCCACCCCCCCCAATCCCGAGCATGGGACCAGGACTCCCCAGAATAGAGAGAAGTGTGAAATCTCAGTGGGACTTTCCTGGTTAAATAAAGGATAATAAATGATAAAGTATTGTTGTTTTAGAGTAAATCAGATAAATATGTTCTTCTACATAATACAAAGAAGACAGCATTGTTATGACAATCACTACTTTCATTGACGTCAGCGTTATGTTGTGATGTAACATGGAGGCGCAGATCAACTACCGTAGATACTGTACATCTCAGTATGGAGATTCCTTGGCTTTATCAGCAGAAGTCTAAGCAGATGTACCCAGATTTTTATAACCCCTCTCATCAGAAAAGAGACATAGTTCCTCCAGCGTGTTCATAGATTAGCAAATCTTCTATTGCTTAATGTGCAGCATAAAAAACAACTTTTCTATCCATTTCAAATTCGCATTAGAAAAGTAAATAACAAAAGTAACTTCATCCCTCTTTCCTCTAAAGCAGGGATCACAAACCTATTACTCAGGAGTTAACAGTAGCTCGCCGCCCCCTCCCAGGTATTTCATCAATCGATTTAGAAAGTAACACATTCAATAGTAACTGACTCACTTGCTCTCATCTGTTGTAAATGCAAACTTACTGCGTGCACTAGTGAGACCGATATGTTGATAAACAACTGGTGATAAAGACAGCAGCCGATCTTAAAGGCACACCGCGGACTTTGTGACCTAAAGAGTTGACACATATGAGTTATTTTATATGAATACTTGGGCCAATATACAGCGCTTGACACTTGCAATGCTCCGAGCGGGGCTGCCCTCTTGAAATACCGCCCATGTAAGTTTAGAGCAGACGGACCGTCTGCCACCAGGTCACGTGACTTGGAAGAAAGACTTGCTTTACGGCTACAGGCGCTGATATACTCATGGAGCTAAGGCTTTTGCTACTCATTTTTCACCTGCTCGACTCCTGGTCATGGCTGAGGCAAGGAAAAATTTTAAACCTTCGGAGGAGGCTAAAAAGAGGAAACGCGAAAGGGATCGTGCTGTAAGCTGCATGTCTGTATGAGCGCTGTTCTTCACCTGGTTCCTGGATGTCATCGACTGCAAAGATGTCATTCCACGCAGCACGAGCTAGACGCAGAACTCCCTCATCCAGGATATAGAAGTCCATGTGTGGTAGATTACTAATGCAGCGGTCTGGAGGCTGACCACAGCAGAGTCTCTCAATATCTGTAGGCATGTCTCTACAGTTTGAACACACACACCAGTGCATGCTGTCTGAATACACACTCAAAAGACACCGGCTGACTGTTTGTTGACTTTTGCGACAGTGCTGAGTTGCTTGTGGCCACTAGGGGCGCTAAACGTGAAAGTTGCAGGTCTAGCGCCCCTAGTGGCCAAGAGTTACACGGTGTGCCTTTAAGCTCACTCTCTCAAACATATCAACTCATTTCCCCTGGACGTCTTAAAGGAGTAGCTCTCTTCCATTTGTGTCTCAAGAAAGTTGCTTCCTGGGGGAAAAGGTTGGAGACTCCTGCTATAAAGAGCTCATATGGGGTGTGGTCACCTGGAATGGTCATTCTTTGTAATTATAGATATTATCCAGCAGAAGGTAGACTGCATAATCTGTTTGATTAATTTGAGCATGTTTTGACTGCCTTAAAACAAGATTGGCCAATGGAACAGGAAAAATGATCTTGCTTTAAAAATATACAAGAAATGCCTCTCTTGGAATGTCCCACTGGAAAATCTTGTTTTAAGACAGACACAATGTATTCAAATCAAGATAAAAACCACTTGATTTGATTATTTCCCCATATTTTTTTTTCAGTGTTCATTGTTATGTAAATAATGTAAATATAGAGATCCAAGACACATGCTCAGAATGTCTCCCACTACAACATTAGGCCTGTCGCGATAGTCAATAAATCAATTAATCGCACGATAAATAAAATTTGCTCAATAACTTTTCTGGCCGCGATAAATCCCATTTGCAGCTTGTTTGTTTCCCCCGTCTCTCTCTCCCCCTCTTTCTCGGGTCAGAGCCGCAAAGTGGTCACGGGAACATTAGCGGTCTAGCAAGCAGACGGAAATTACTCAAAAATACAAAATACAGCCAAAACAGGACTTAAACCAGGACTTAACCAGGATTGACAATGGGGGACACAGTAGTTGTGAACATATGCCGGCAGCTGA